TTCTCTTACTTACAGTAGAGCTCTGTAGACTAATGAAATGCTTGTTAACAGAGTACCTTAGCAATTTAGTGTTGCATTTGATGGTGTCTTTGTTAGATGCTCCTCACCTGGTGAAGAGCCATGCCTTTCAAACTTGAGATTGTGGCACAGGCTCCATGATTAGAAATTGGTCATCTCCAACCTCAAGCTAAGCTAACGCTGATGACCTCACAATAACACCACCTGTGATATTTCCTTAAAGTTGTCAGGTGACATCTTCTGCCCCATTTCGGTTCACTGTATTTGAGAAGGCTGCTATCATAATAAGCTTTTTTTAATGTATTTATCTGTTTCCTCAGGCAGGTTCCACTTGAAAGCAGCGAGTTGGAACAGGATAGCGACCAGGCTGAGCACCCTACTGTGGCCTTTCATCTCTCAGCTTATATTATTAAGTGGTGTTTTCGTGGAAATATGATGGATAAGCAGCAGCGGTGTCTTTTAGTGTGAGACTTTTGTCGGACCACATGGAGTGATGCTGCCAACTGCTTTAAAGTTTTAAATTAGCACCAGACAACAGCTTGGCATGTTCAGTGTTTTCCAAGTGACTGGAGTTTCAAACCATAAAGGCCATTAGCAGCCAGCATGACAGCCAGTCAGTCACGCTAGGCAGGCACCCAGAGAGCTCTTACATCACTACCAGGAAATTGCAAAACTGTACTGAAAGCCACGGTGACAAAGCAGGTTACCCTGACAGCAGGTTATCATGGGATACAGTTGCTATTACTGCAAAAGGCTACCTCGAGGGGATACTCCTGTGAACAGACTGAGGTCTCTTACTATTGTTGTCTCTCAGAGAAATGTATAACATAGGTGTGTTAATTTACATGGCTGGGTTTGTGCTGCTAAATAACTAGATTTTTTTTGGTTTTGTTGCCAGAGAGCACTGGTAAAATGTAGGTTTGTTCATTTTTCTAAAACCTTTAGGAGGCAGAATGTCTGTCACAGGAATATATTTTCTGTGATCAGTTGTTCACTTGTGTCTGCAAAGTAAACTAAGCTGAGGGAGCATCATTATCTGTATGCATAGTTTGTAGCCAGTGATCTGTCTCAAAAAGCAGGATTGCTGGGAGGATTTGCAAACTAAAACCAGCTTTCATTTTGCTTGTCAGAGGACAAAATAAGTCTGCAGTAGAAAGTATCCTATGATATGAATCGGTATCTTCCTTTCTTATCTTGGCTCATTTCTTGACAGCTTAAATGCTGGTTCACCAGTAGCACTAGTTGTTACATGAGATAAAGGTACGGTGATGTGGTTGTCATGTGGGTTTTTTTTTTCCCTCTGGCAGCCTCAAGCTATTGTTACTATTGTTAGTAATAATCTTATTGGTTTAGATAGTTTCTCATCTTCACATATGTGTAATACCCTTATACTCCTCTTTTCACATTTGCTCCATGTGTTTTCACATCACATTGACACACAGTTCCCCTTTCCATAGACACCTCTCAGTACAGTGTCACGTGCATCCTGTGTTGTGTTTCACCCTGTTGGTAGCACCTGCACTGTCGCTGAACAGACGTCAGATTACCTTGTGTGCCTCCCCCCTAAGCTACTTCACCACACACTCCACTTCCTCTCACTCCCTCTGCCTGCACTGTCCATCCATTCCCATGGTGTGAAGCTCGGACTAATCTTTGCAGCTGTTCTCTAAGATACACACAGCCTTTAATAAGCCAGACAACAGTACATGTGTGTTACCTGGTCACTGAAGCACACAGACAAACCTGGTTATTGATTCATATGCACAAGAGAAAATGCTATTTTGAAGTTAGGACACACTGTTAACGATCACAATTTGTAATTTTTTTATTTTTTATGTTTGCTTTTTGTAGCATTGGTCATCCTTCACACCAGTAACAAGGACAGTAGCATTGTCCTTAAGGGCTGTGATCTGGGGACTCGACATAACAAAATCGCTAAAACAAACTCCAGCTGGTCAAGAAACCAGCAGTCCCATGATCACACAGATTGCAAACAAACCCCTGGGTTAGCCAAACTTATTTAGAAGAGAAAACTAAAATTATTACTCAAACTGTCCTTTATGAACATCCTTTATTATTTAGAGAACTAATTTACGAGCCAACTTCTCTTCCTTGATGCCCAAACTTCAACAGATGTTTGGCATTTTACTCACAGCTTTTCCCATATTCCTTTGTCTCCTCTCCACAGATTTCTCTTTCATCATATTTGTACTCAAGCTGCTTCCCTGTTATGTTCAAATACGATGATTCCCTGCTATGACTTTGAAAGTGGCCACCTTTTTTCTCTCATGGCCTTTTCTGAGTCTGTGAGATTTGCAAGACATCCACCCATGCTTTTATAGCTGTCTTAAAACCTATTTTAGCATTGCTTTATTGATGGGAACATATATACATATAAATACAAAGTCAAAAGTATTTTGTGGCTTATAGTATTTAGTTTTTATTCACATGCATTATATTGTTAGGTATACTGGCAGCATGGCTTCAAGAACAGCAGTGTCATCAGCTATTAAATGAATTGCCATAAAATTTGGTACCGACATCAACGTGTCTCAACAACAGGTCAAACTTACAAGGTGTCCAGTGGGGTTTTGACCTAAGACATGCTAAATCAATGACCGGCTCATCGGTCTGAGCTGAAATTTACACTTGGTTTCAGTAAACCGTGTTGGTATGCTAATGTGATAAAGGGAAATATGCTTGTTTTGCTTTCTTGCAAGGAGCTAGGTGAGAAGCTCAGTACTACTTTTATAACTGCTTGGTAAATATAAAGAACATTTGCACAAATTCCCCATAAAGCCACAGCTTTGCTGTCTTATACACGTTGAACAAACAAAATATAACTGGTTAATCAGTGAGCATTTGATTTGATTTGATTTATTCTTTCAAGCTTGTAAAGACGGTTGATATGTCAACACACATAATTTTACACATATCCAACAAATGCTAATCCAATATCTTATACCTAGTACATGCGTGAATGGAGTAGGAAGAAGTCAGACTTATCCAGTCCTACCCCATGACATCATCTTATATCATTGGTTTGCAAGCAGTATCTCTACATAAATAATTCTCTTCTACACCACACAAGTAATATACTAAAGAATTATAACAGAGTGTTAACATTCATACACCACACCCACAATGTTCCATCTAATTAATCATTGAGCCTGTTCTTGCATATATCTTGATTGACACATACCTTTCTATTTATGTTTAAACTCGTCAATTCTATTACTATTTTTTATGTCTACACTTAAATTATTCCATAGTTTTACCCCACTTATGGAAATACAAAATCTTTTTTTGGTTGTACGTATAGCATGAATTTTTAAATTTAACTGACCCCTTAAATTGTATCCCCCTTCCCTTTTATTAAATATTTTTTGAATTCCACCAGGTAATAAATTGCTCCTGGCTTTATACATAAACACAGCAGTCTTATATTCCACTAAATCAAAAATTTTTAACAATTTAGACTGTATGAAAGCTACATTGGTGTGATCCCTGTACCCCATCTTATGCACAGTTCTTATCGCTCTTTTTTGTAATATATACAATGGTTGAAGTGAGCTTGTGTATGTATTTCCCCAGTTTTCAACACCATACTCTAAGTATGGTAAAATCAATGAAGAATACAAAATGCGTAGTGCTTTCCCGTCCAAAATATATCTAACCCAGCATTAAAGCTACTAATTAACTTATGCCTGCCAAACATCAGCATATTAAAATGATGACTGTGAGAAAGTACCGCATCACAGAGCTGCTATCTTTTAACTGCTTTTAGTTTGTTTTATGACACTTTAATTTATGATTAGATTGAGGACTACCTTTCTGGTAGGTGCTCTATAAATATTATGGCTATCATAATTAATTCATGGCAGTTGTATGTTTTTATTTCACTTTGCCACTCTGGTGTCCTGGCTTTCTCCTCAAACAAATATTCACTGTGACTCAGTTGCCTTTATTTGCATCCCAGAGCCAATGGAGACCAGGCTCTGGTACAATAAGCAGCAAAACAAAGACACACTAATAACATCACCAGCAATTATGCATGCGCACACACTCTATTGCGGGAATAGATTTTGCTGCCTGCATTGTGGCCTGTGCTGATCAGTATAAATGTCCCAGTGACAGCACAGTGTTGAGCTGATTGCTCACAGACCTCCACCTGCATTATTAACCAGCTCAACACACACTGGAGGCCATTTTGAACATGCAGTGGAGTGTGTGCACACACTTATTGTGCCTGCCTTATTCACAGGAGCTTCCTAATGAACTAATAAGACAAGGATCTTCCAACAGTCCTCTCTGAAGGCCTTCCCTGAGCTATTTGTGCCTTTTGCACCCTTATGTCGACTCCTGGCTTTAGGCTCAGAGTTGTTGTCATACACACAACCTGTGTGTGAGCTGTTGGCCTTGTGTCGGACTGCTCCGTGACCTTAGCTGTAACTGGCTGACTTGTCACATGCTCCGAGTTATGCAGCAGAAATCACATATTCATTAGACCATGGCTGACAAATTCTCAGAGGCCATAAGAGCACTGTCGAGACTGTCAGTGTTTGTGTGACTTTGTGCGTCTACATATACAGTATATACAAATCTTCTCCCCTTCTATTTCATTTCTTTTTTCATATTCTTTTTTTCCGCTGCCCTAAGTTATGACCTGATAGTTTGTCTGACCACAGCGTTGGTTCTGAGGACAGCTGTGACCTTGGTGGCAAATTTGCATGTATTGGCTGTCAGTACTTTGACATTCAGTGCAGAGCAACTAATCTCTCTTCTCTCTCTCGTCTTTACTCAGTGTGTGTGTGTGTGTGTGTGTGTGTGGTTGATGTAATAAATTTCATTGCCACCAGCAGTTTAAAACGAAATATAGCCCAAATGAGACTGACCTCAAAACCAGAGTGCTTTCCCTCCAACACTGTAGTAAATAAAACTGTAATTGTAGTTTTACATTCTCTAAATCATGTTGTTGTCAGGAATATGAAACAAAGAGTGGCAGACCTGGACCTGGCAACCCGACATCTCCCAGGAAGAGTGTGAGGAAAAACCTGGACTTTGAGCCCCTCTCCACCACCGCACTTATACTAGAGGACAGACCTGCGTATGTAAACACACACATTTCAGATCTTTGTGTAAACTATCCCACGTTTTTCAATCTCTCACTGCCAGTGAGTTTCCTTATCAGTCAATAAAGCTACGTCTGTTGTCTTTCCATCTCCATATCCCTCTGTTTCCTTCCTTCCTTTATCAGCCCTCCTGCATCTTCCAGGTCATTTGACTCCATTCAGTCTGTGTGCTGTTTGTATCGCAGACTGTAAAAGAGAAGTGATGCTGAAAATTTAATGGCCCTCCTTCAGCCAGGCTCCATTATTCCTTTTTTAGCATTTTACATTTTGTTAATATACAGACTGACATGTCCTCCCATCTGTTACTGTTACCCTCTGTTTTATAAAGTGCAAATACTTCATATTTTTGTCTGCACATGTTTTAAAGTTTCAGTTTTACTAGCTTGGTAGAATTGGAGTACTATGTTTTGCTTTCATTAGCTTTTGAAAAAACAGGCACTACATTAAAATGTCATTCATAAATGGCACAAGTGTTCCACGCTGAGATTTAACAGGGTGAAACAGAAAACACTCACCACCCTAAAAAACAAAACACCTGTTAACACATATTGATAAAACCTAATAAATGATTTCTTTTGGTTTCAACATTAAACTGCCTCTCTGTCATCTACCAATTGACAGAATGAGCATGTTATGAAATGTCGCATCTTAACACTCCTGGGTTTTTGCCACATCTCGGGGTTTGTCAGCAGAGCAAGTCAGTGAAAGGTTCCTGTTGCCTGTATACGTTCTCTTTACTTTGCATCACAGAAGCTTGCTCAACCTGAGTAATGCCTTGAAGCCCTAAAACACATTGTTGCTAATCCATATACTTCTCTGTGTGTGTTAAAGTAATCTGCCTGCCAAACCGGCTGAGGAGGCCCAGAAACACAGACAGCAGTATGAAGAGATGGTGGCCCAGGTCAAGAAGAGAGGTGAGGTTGTTTGACAAGAGAATCAAAGTTTACTTACTGTGGTTAGTTCCCCTCAGACCGTGAGGTCACTGTGGAAGACTTCCCCAGCATCCACCCCAGCTCCAAACAAATGTATCAGGAACCTGATCAGATTAATCTGCAATGTGTTTTTCCTCCACCTTTCCTCTTTACCCTTAAGCTTCTCTTTGTTTTGTGTCTGACCATCTCTCTTCATGCTCCTGTGTGTAGAGCTGAAGGAGGCTCAGAAGAGGAAGAAGCAGCTGGAGGATCGATGCAAGCTTGAGGATAGCATTTGTACAGTGGCCCAGACTTGGAACCAGGAGATCTTGCCTAACTGGAGTACAATGTGAGTACGAACACTAACAGAGTTCAGACTGATAACAGTTCAGATGTTCATATGGCCGCGGCCGGAGGCATTATGCTTTCAGGATGTCCATCTGTACGGCCCATTTTTGTGATAGCGGAATCTCAGGAACACTGTGATGGAATTTCCTCAAATTTGGCTCAAGTGGACTCAGTGATGAACTAATTAGATTTTGGTGGTCAAAGGCCAAGGTCATTGACCTTACTTCTGTCCCATACCCATGAATTTGGTTGGAGGTGGAGGCATAAAACCGAGAAGCGGTAATTGTACTTTTGTGTGTGTGTTACACTTTGCTTCTTTGTGCAGAAGCTACCAGTACAAACACGGGTCAAGAGTTCTCTAATGTGTGGTGCCTTACAGAAGGAATAGTAACTTGACTGAATGTCTTATAAACACAAAAATGATGTCCCTTTATTCTTTGTCACATTATTCCAACCCAGTGGTGTAAATCAGCACTGTTTAGCAACACAGATTTTTGGTTAACTGTGCTGCCAAATACTTTAGCTGTCTAAATTAGTAGGCATTGATGCACTGTAAAATCTAGATAAGTACGTGAGGATGTCATTAATCCTCATGGCTATGTAAGGGTTAAGGGTTCACACTATGCTGTGTTTCATTAAATCTAATGTCATAGTCAGCAAAATACTGCAAGTACATACTGTTCAGTGCAGCAGCTGGAGACCAGTGCTGCAAGGAGTACTGTACAGCCCAGTCATATTTCAACATAATGGCTAATTATGGTCCTAATATGACGTAGCCTGCCTCACAGGCATAACTGGCCCATGTTCATTCCAGCATGCTGATTTTAATTGATCTCACAGTCAATATCTTTTGTTATACCTGCTAGTTGTACACAATAGTCTCCCTTGGTATTTACAACATCTTGCCACTCCTGTGGGTGTATGACCCTGAACTATGATTAGTGTTTGATTTCCAAACATGACAATTGTGGAGCCCTTGTGTAAAGTGTTTGTGCTTATGTAATTTTGCTCTGCAGTTTCTTTAATGCGTAGGACTACCCAGGCCACACATCTTAATGTTCAGGTAGATTAACTGTATTGCCACCATAATACAAATGAAGCACTATGAATCAGAGGTTAGTTTTACTCTGAAGGGCAGCCGTTTCTTGCACTTCTTGAGTGCCATCATGTGGCCCTGATGGGTACATGGTTTCCTCTGTGAAACACAGTTATTAAGCAGCCTCTTGACTTTCTTCTCATATTTTACCAGGTGCACATCTCGACGAGTGAGGGACCTCTGGTGGCAGGGCATCCCCCCCAGTGTCAGAGGCAAAGTGTGGAGTCTGGCTGTGGGCAACGAGCTCAACATCACACACGGTACATGAGAGCGAGTGTGCATGTTGGAGTGAATGAGAAGAAACAAGGTCTGTTACCTGAGCTGCATAAATTTCCAGAGCGAGACAGAGATGGCACCCTCAGGGCCATTTGCAGATAAGCAGAATGCTGAGTTGACCCATTCTGCTTTATGCTACTTAGACCTTTAAATGGAACACAGTCCTATGCATCATCACTCTGTCCACACACACATAATCATACAAAGATCAGTCCCTGCAAAGCTTCACTTTAAGTGAAGCAGTTTTATTACTACTGGTAATGCTACTCCCAGGATTTCTCCTAAGCTGCCTGCTACTGGTGGCACTGAGGTTACTGCTGCTACAGTACTACCAAATACTACTAAGCACTTTAAAGCTAATAAAAAGCTAAACTCTTGGTGGTAATTTGTGTTATTCCTAGGTAACTAGTTTACTGCTACATTTTGGGACTGAAGATTATGGGTGCCAATCTTTAAGAATCTCATTGATTCTTGCTGTCAGGATTTGATTCAATCAATCCATTGAATCAATTTGAAACCAATTCTTGAATAATTAAATAGGAAAGTGAGGTGCTAGTTTCAGGCTCCTACTCCAACGCACTGCAGGCCAAACCGCTGACTTGTTTTTCACTTTGGACAGAGCCAGGCTAACCGTTTCCCTCTGCTTCCAGTCTTTATGCTATGCTAAGCTATGCTAATTGACTCCTAGCCCTCAGAGAAAGAAAGCATTATGTTTTTAATTCTGTTGGTAGTAACAACTAAATATTATATAGTACATATTGGAATTAACAAGTTAATTGGTATTAATATTAACAAATCAGCTGTATAATTGCTCTTGCATGTCTCTGCTCCTTGCATGGCCTGTAGTTGCCATTTTCTGCAGTTAAAATCAATCTGCTCCTTTTGGGTACTGAGCAAGGTCAGGGCCGCACATCATGCTCCACATCATGTCTCAGCAGCTCATTATTTTGATCCAGCAGCTCATCACTAGAGGGCAGCCACAGGTTAAAGCACATGCTGGGATGTTTACTGTACTGCAGCAGAATAAATGTCTTTTGAAATGGATGGAGATTTGTTTCCTCTAATCACCTTTAGTGTTACTGCTGCCAAGGGCTGAATCCTTTTATCATCTGAAGTGGTTTTTGCCCAGTCGTCATGTTCTCTACTCACCAGCTTTAGCTTCTGCCCCTCCTTCTCTCATAATGGCTGTATCGTGGTACTGTTATGTCTCTGCAGAGCTGTATAACATCTGTTTGGCCCGGGCAAAAGAGAAGTGGAACACCATGCCAGCACCTACCGCTGAGACTGAAGCTGAAGGTAGAGACAGAATAGAATCATTTTCTTCACTTTCTCTGGCTTGGTACTTTGATTTGATCATGTTCACTGCCACTCAAAGGTTTAGACACTTTCCCATTCAGTCCAGTGGGAGAGTGTGTCCAGACTTTTGTCTCACAGAGTTTCTAGGGTTTTGTAAGATGCTGGCCATGTCTTCCAGATGCTGGTTCTTCAGACAGGGAGTCGAGCCTGGAGCTGATCAAGCTGGACATCTCAAGAACCTTCCCCCAGCTGTGCATTTTCCAGCAGGTCAGGAAACAAGATGCACAAAGCACATGTTGCTGCTGAAACAACATTTCCTTGTTACTTGATTACCAGTTTTTTAATGTTCTCAGCAGTGGGATTTCTTGAGTGGTTTGTGTGTGTGTGTGTGTGTGTATTTTTGGCCTGTTTGTTCCACTGTCTTCATTTTTCCTTTGTTCGTCATCAGGGTGGGCCCTATCACGATGTGCTGCACAGCATTCTGGGAGCATACACTTGTTACCGGCCAGACGTTGGCTACGTAAGTCACACACACAGGCAATACACTGTTGCTATACGGAAGCACACTTTATATTAGTTTTTTTTTTTTTATACCCACTAGTGAAACTTGAAGAATGTATACTTGGGGTAATCTTCATACAACTCATGAACGTGGGTAAACATTTGGGTGTTGTTTTTAAGCTTCCATACATGGCTGATGCCTGTTTCTTCTATATGTGATATGATTTTAGTTTTGTGTCACATTTAAATTAGGGAAAAAACACAAGACAACATATTGCACACGGGTAAACAGCTCATAGTAGAAGTTCTTAACAATAGTAACTTTGAGGTATTTTATAGTAAGGCTGTGGGCAAGTCATTAGGTCAAAAATGACAGCATGGACTTAGATCTCCCACATAACACCTACTCTGGTCTATTATTATCTTAAATTACCGAAGTTTGGTTGCGGTTGCAGTGACTGTGAAATTCAGGTATTTAATTTCCAGTGTGCGCGGTGTCTGCCCGATAGTGGGGGCCCAAGTGTGTAGGATGTGTTCGAGAAGACAGTACTCAGTACGCCCATGTGAAATACCAGGCCCAGATGACATTTGAAGGTTGAATCTAAGAACGACTGCGTTTTCAGTGCCAGTGATTCATATTAATCAATGAGTTTCTATAAAATGTTTGGCTACTGTGCTTCACCAACAATAAATAACATGTAAATAAACTTATTCTTGCTCTTAGCTACAATTCACAGCTCAGCAGGTTCCTAGTAAACAGGACTGACTAGAAACCAGTATTCATCAAGCCTGTTTCAACCTTTGGCCTCATAGCATGGTGTGCCAAGCTAGACAGTAAGGTTATTATATGAATCACAGACGCTCTGTTTTTAACGCGCTCCTTTTTGCTGGTTCCACCTGCTTTAACTTATTTTTACTCATTGGTTTTGAATTGGTTTTTCTTTTTGTTTTAATTCATTTTGGGTGTTACCTATTCTAAATGATGTTTCTTTATTTACTGACAGATGAGTCTGCTGTTGTGTGCCAAATTACTCACACAGAACAATAAAGACTGAGCTAAAAATGAAGTGATTCTACAGTCGGTGCAGTCAGCTGGTGGTTAGAGTACCTGTAAGAAGGTGTGGACCTTGGCTATCAGCTCACGTCAGGTTGACTTCTGTAGTCTGCAGACATGGACTAAAATACTAGTCCTCTTTTGTCCCCTGTCAGTCAGAAATTAAAGCGCGTACTGTAACCTCCACTTCACTGCTGCAGCATGCACACAAAGCCCGACGCATCATCACAGACGTGCAGTCAGGAGCTCAGAGTGCCTAATTTTTCTACAGCTGCACAGCGCAGTGCCCAGTGGTTTGGGCAAGACTTTTCTGCTCCGTGTAGGTGTGATTTTTTTCCTAGTTAGTAAACCACAGCATCTTTTCCTTTCCTCCAGGGAGATTCACTAATCAGGTGCCAGTGTTCCACTGCATGACTCACTGCTGTCTGTTCTCAGACTCCAGTCCTGACCCGCCTGATGTCTAGCATATGATATATTTTTAATCAAACCGTCTCTGCTTTTGAATCAGTCACCTAAGCTTTGGACCAGCTTAAACTCTAATTAACCAGTGGCATTAAAAATGTGTCGACTGGTGGTTTAAGCATTATGCTGTGTTGTTACATTGAATTTATGTTCATGCACCTCAAAGCCACTTGTAGATGATGCGGTTTGACTTCTGCACCTCACCACAGTTCCACGCTAGCTGTACACGTCTATAAATGAGTGTGACTTCCTGCAATGACCCCAACCCATGTCTGCATGCATGTCTGTGTGTAGGTTGGTTTAGTCCCTTGCATCAGCATTTTATCTTGTTTTCCAGACACAGACTGAAGCATAACTGCTTATGATTGTAAATTACTCTTTTAAATGAGATTATAGAGCACTTTACACTGGTAAGAGTGACAAGGATGGTGCATTGCAAAATTCACCTTTAACAGGTCTTCACTTTCTGCCAGTGTCTCCATACACCTCTCTTTTTTGTGTTTGTGCAAACATGTATGTGTGTGTGTCTCTGTAGGTGCAGGGAATGTCATTCATCGCAGCAGTGCTGATCCTGAACCTGGACACAGCTGATGCCTTCATAGCTTTTGCCAACCTGCTCAACAAGCCCTGTCAGATGGCCTTCTTCAGAGTCGACCACAGCCTTGTCAGTATACACGAAACACACACTTCCCCCATCAAAACTAAAACTGGACACACCCACTGACTTGACATAAAATAGCTTTAAACACACAGAATTACTACTGCTTTGCTTTTGTATTCAATATTTAACATTTCATGGACATTAAAATTTATTTTTGGCCTTTGGAGCCATGCATTTCTGTGGAAAGTTAGTTTTAACACCCACCCCGTACCAAGTGAAAGAAGAAATGAACTCTGGGCTTATAAAAGGCACGTTGATAACCTCCTATTGATGCTGCAGTCCAATGATCTAACAAGAATAATACAAAAGTGAAAATCTAGTAAGCACCTCCAGAAGCATTATTAAAAATCAGAATAGTGCAGAAAGGTCATAACTACAAAACCATTTTTTAAATTGTTTAGTAAGATCAGTAGAGCATAATGTGACGATAGTTCACAGTCTGAAATACATTTGCAGTCGAATAAAATTTAAAGAGCAATGAAACATTTAACATTTTTAATATTTTTAATTTGTTGATAATATGTGTTTGAGTACAGTTGAAACAATATTGTATTCAATTTTTACACATCTGCTCTTTAAGTGAGACAGTTTAATTAAGGCTGCAGCCATTAGTTTATTATGGAATAATCAATTTGTACAGTGTCACAAATTGGGGGAAATGGCCATCACTAATTCCCAAAGCTCAAGTTGACATCTTTGAATACCTTGTTTTGTTCAAACTACAGTGTAAAACCCAAAGAAATGTTGATTCAAATTGTGGAAGGCTGAGGAAATCCTCCCATCTGCACAGCAAATTATTTTGGTGTTCTTTTTGTTTAAAATGACAGTTATTCCATGCTGATGAATTTTCTGTCTAGTTACTAATCAGTTAATCCATTCATCTTTGCAGCTGTAATTTCAATTTCTCTGTTACAAATCCTAATAAATATGCAGAAACGGGAGGTTTTGACTTTCAAGCACATCAGTGGGTTTCATTTCATTTTTCTGCCCTGATCTGTTCTCTGTGCTGTACGTTTGTGATATCAGACTTGTTGACGCCACAGAAAACACTCGGTGAGCTCGCACACAGTCTGGCCAGCCAAAACATCCCATCAGCCTCTCTGCTGTTTGTTTACATTTCTCTTCAACAGGCACCTGAGTTTCCTCGCTGTCGTCCATTTTTACGAATGACTCAGTGGCCTGCTAGTTGAACACCGCGATGTGGTTTGTTACTGTGTGTGTCACGTTATAAGACCACTTTCTTTCTTTCCTCTCTGCAGATGTTGACATACTTTGCAGCTTTTGAAGTGTTCTTTGAAGAAAATCTACCAAAGCTCTTTGCACATTTCAAGAAGAACAACTTGACCCCTGATATTTATTTAATTGACTGGTGAGTCTTGAGCTCTCTCTTCTTTTTATTTAATGTATTTCACATTGTTTCTTCAGATTGAGTTTTCATTTTTCAATACAGAACTCAGACATTTGAAAATACATGTTGACATCTTTACACTATTATAGCCCTCACAGGAAACCTGACAGGGTCTTCTGGGCTGTTGTTATCATGTCATTTCACAGCTGAACCACTAAATATATATGAAGCTAAAACACCTGTTTGTTCCCCACCTATGCACGGAGTACACGTTGTTCTCCATTCCAGAAAAAACGTGCTACATATCATCTCGAAACGCGACTCTTGCCTCACTTTCAGCTCATCACAGTTTCACTGTCAGGTGTGATTCTGAGAAAACCATACAAGATGGGGGGTGGAGTAGGGGTCTCTGCCTACTGACTGTGGAAATTTCTACCTTTCTATTTTTGTTCAGCTCTCATTTATATCATTCACACATAGTCATGTGTGAGAAGGGCAATATACTGGTGATTTACCCTTTAAAAAAATCCGGTGACTTCCAGTAACATTGTGACTTTCCAGACACAAAATCTAGGTAAAATAAGCTACAAAACAATAGCTAGGTCAATATTATTTTAATATCGACACAGATGTTGTGATATATACAGTAAATATCAGAGATCTTTTTGGCTTTTGTGATCATTTCTCCACTTTTGCTTCAGACCATGCGTTGCTGCACAGTGTTACAGCGGGGCTCCGGGGGAAGTGACACATTCTGTTATGAAAAGAAGTCAATAGAGCCCCTGCTGTAAACACACATTAAAAATCAGCACTGCTAGTTTTAATTTTATGAAACTGAAGAATTGTCATTACATCAGCACTGAGCTTAGTGTGTTTCAATGCACGAGTTAGAAAAGTTCACCCACTCCTCCGACAGTCGCTTCAGGTTCTGAGATATTTCAGGGTCTTGCACACACTGCGTGTTTAACACCTACCCACAGATTTTCACTGACACTAGATCAGCCTTTTGCTTACAGCTGTTTATCTGAGAATTCACCGGACACCAATCTAATCATCTCTGACGAACTGTACAGTACATTGATGTATAATTTTGTTTTAACTTGAGAAATGACATTTGTTAACCTCTGGTTTCTGATTTGTCATAAATCTGATATTCAGTGCCTTTCTCTGTGTCTCCCTGCGCCTGTCCCTCCAGGATCTTCACTCTGTACAGTAAGCCGCTGCCGTTGGACCTGGCGTGTCGCGTGTGGGACGTGTTCTGCAGAGACGGTGAGGAGTTCCTGTTCCGCACGGCACTGGGCCTGCTGCGTCTCTATCAGGACGTCCTGACCTGCATGGACTTCATCCACATGGCTCAGTTCCTCACCCGCTTGCCCGACCTCATCCCCACCGAGCAGCTCTTCCAGCACATCGCCGCTATTCACATGGCCAGCCGAAACAAGAAGTGGGCACAGGTATGAGCTTACAGCTTTACATTTTAGGTTCTTTGGTTGGTACTGGTTAATACAGATTCTGACCGTACTCTCCTCAGGTCCTGCAGGCATTACAGAAAGATCAGGAGCGAGGCAGCCCCGTGCTGAAGCGCTGAGCTGAGACCACAGCCTCTACCGGTTCCCCTTCAGCCTTCAGGAGACACTGGACTTTTCCCAGACTAGAATGAACTATGAGAGCTTTCGTTCAGTTTGGGGACATATCTGGTTGTAGCTGTAGAGCCATGTCTCTACGTTGACTGGAACCAGGACCCTGTGGGTGGGGGGGTCTGTCAGTGATCAGGCAGGGGTGCAAAAAGTAATACGAGGCCTTATTTAACTCCCATCATGCCTCTATTCTGAGGCCCAGCAGCGGACTGCTGACTGTAGCTGGCAGAGGCTGAAGAATGTTTCACACACTCCCACATACATGGAAACCAGAGAGATGCCAGTTCCTACTCAACATTCTCCATGTAGTTTTAATCTGTGCTGTCAGCACTGTCTCTGGCTCCAGTTCCACTTGTCCTTTATATTTTTTTTATTTGGCTATTTTTATGACATAGGTCCAAGTCAGATCTGTGAATGGCAATTTTAAAACCTCCGTCTTTGTGTCTCGGTCTCTCGTAAAACTTGAGCCATTCCTTCGTGTTCATTCCTTTCCTGCCAGCTCTGACCTCAGTTTCTTTTGTTTCCTGGACCATTCCATGAAGTCAGCTCTTCTTAAAACACAGCTTTGTGAGTCTAAGCATGAAGATGCAACAGATGTGCACATAACCTTCAGGCTCTAGGTTAAACACCTGAGGCCCAGTTTGGTATCTCTGGGAGCACCACACTGTTACATGGTATGAAATGTTACCCGTCTAATCAGAGGTCATCCCTGCCTGAAGATTTGAGCTTTACAGTATATCTATGAAATAATGAAACTGAAGGAAATAATGTGGCAATCTGCTGCTGTCACACACACACACACAGTGTCAGACACGGCTTCCCCTGCCCTTCATATGTTTGAGGTACATTTTAGCTGGGTAGTGGTTTGAATCCTGATCTCTTGTTGTGAGTGTGATGTCTATTTTGTGTTAATATTTATCAAAAGGACGTGTGGACATACACAGGACGTGCTCCAGTCAAATGAAGAGTTGTTGCTGAGCCTGTCTCCACCCAAACTTGTTTGGACTTGATTTGAACAACACGTACATACAAACGATAGGGTGTGACCTGTGTTCACATACTTGCCTGTGTGCTCTGGCCGACAAGGGAACAACATCTAATAGCGTAAGTGAACGTGGCATTATTGACGGCTGCCACGTTGGTAATGTGGAGGTCAGGGCAGAAGGAGCTGCAGCTGGGACGTCACTTTCTCTTTAAAGTTTCTGTCATATTTGTTTTATTGTTTCTGCTTCTGACCAAACCTCACATCCTGTTATACTGCCCCCACTGTTCTTATGCTTAGTTACATTTGCAAACTTGTGTTAAATGCTGAGAATGCACCCAGCCAGTGCTCTGAAACAGGGTGTAAAGTCCTGCACCGTGGGCCTCGCTCGGGTAAATCTGGATTCAGTAGGTGATGCTGCACTTCCTGTAAAGCACATGTTGACTCTCATGCAGGTTCTGCTGTTGTAAGGAGCCTCTTTCTTTCTTAACCTCCAGGAAACATTAGTTGTAATACATCTTAAATTATGTGTATCATGTCCCCATGTTAAAGTACAGCTGAGTTATCACTCAGAGTGAGAGAGCAGTTTTTGACACACATTGCTGTGGTCAGGTGCTCTCGGTCTCGTGTTGTGTGTGTCAACCACTGTTGACTGTGTTAGGTGGGCTAAACCAGCAGGCCAGACTGCAGTAACCCATGTTCCTCTAGGTTTGACAACACCAGCATGCATCTGCCCCTCTCACCTCACACAGTATCTTTGCCTCATGTCTCCCTCTGCACTTCCCATAAACCTCTTGAAGGCAAGAGGTGAAATGACTAGTCCATCAGTTTATCGATGAAGATGCATAATTTTTTAAACATTCCCTTGTCAGATTCTGAATTGAAGATTTTCTGTTTTTCGTTTACCCATGTTGTTGGTAAACTGAATATGTTTGGGTTTTGGACTGAATAAGCAATTTGAGGCCATTGTATGTAGCATGTTTGGTCTTCATCAGCATCTATTCGACTGGCTGCTCAGCCTCACAAATCCCTAACCGTACATCAGGGAGTGCTTGTGTGGCAGTCGCACCTTGGCACGTTGTGGCTGGGTGAGGTTGGCAGTTTGTCAGCTCCCTTGACACTATGTTCTCACTGTGGTTGAAGTGTCACTCCATCCTGACCAGCAGTGGGCGGGCGCAGTTATATTCCTAGAATTGATCGGAGAAGCTGGCAGCCACCAAGTCAGATTAAACAGTGAAGTACCGTCTTGCTGTAGATCCCAAACTGGGCTGCAGCAGTTAGTCAAAGTCTTTAGTGTGATGTTTGTTTCTTTCAAAGCCCATTTTGCACAGACGTGTTCATCAGATGAAGTTGATGTCTGAGTAAAGTTCCTTGTCAGGTGTTCTTTCTGAAGAAGCTGCTGATGGTATTTGTCAGTGTACCTGTCCTCTTACTGGTTGTGAAGCTGCTGCATCTGTTGTGTTGTGCTCCTGATTTTGTGTGTAATGGGGTTGACTTCCTTTTGTGCTGTGTAATATTAATGGCCTCTGTATCTCTTGTCCCCACTGAGGTGAGACTGGACTTGGACCACTGCTGAAGTAGGAGACATGTTCTGGGCTTGAAAAAACAGGAAGCGCCTTTCATTTGTAAATCATCTCGACAGTTTGTTGACGGTCGGTGTGTGTG